CATGTGTCTCCCACCCTTGGAGGGTCTTCACAACAACCTTTATTTGGTGCTCTCTTCTCTATCTGAGCTTCCTTTTCACCTAGCACATGTGGCTGGCCTTCAAGTCATGGAGCAAAATTCCTGGTACTAATCTCAGCCATTCCTGGGTGTTAGTCTCCCGTTTTGTTGCTTTATGTTCCCCAGATGAATGCAATCTTTCTGTGTCTATCCCGTTCTTTCTGACTCATTTCGCTTAACATGATACTTTCCATGTAGTACCACTTGTATGTAAATTTCATAACTTCATCTTTCCTAACAGCTACATAGTACTCCATTGTGTAAATGTACCAAAGTTTCTTTAACCAGTCATCTGTTCTCGGGCACTCAGGTTTTTTCCAGATTCTGGCTATTGTAAAGCAAACTCAGTGTTTTTTCTCATATTAGTACTATGTTTAGATAGAACAGTCTTGTCAGAAATTTAGATAATCAAGATAAATCACTAGTAAAAGTTTATTGTGCTCACAGTAACAGTTGGCAGATTGGGACCACTCAACCCAAAACATGGAATGAAGCTTGAAGGTGGAGTTTTATAAAGTGACTAAGATTCTGAGAAGACAGTAACTGCTGACTCTTCCTGGTGGTTGGTTATAAGATTAAAAGTCTTTTTGAAAAAGTGAAAACCAACTCGTTCAGTCTTGGTAAGAGGTTTAAGTTTTGCATATGGTTTCTAGAAAAATAAACAAGAAATGAACTGGGGCAAGTTCAAGTAGCAAAATCATGTGACTAAAGTGATTTTTTTCTACTCGTAATTCTCAAAGCGAATTTTCCTCTATTTTTCTTTCATTTTATCAGCTTCATAAAAATACATTTAAATATATTTTCTTGATTCTTATTGTTTTAACTTCCACCATAACCAGTACTCCCAAATCAGCCATGCATGGGGAAAAAAATAAAAACACACAAAAAAAACCACATCATTTCTTGTAGAAGTCAGCCCGAGCTTATATTCTGTTTCTACTACTTTGTTAGAAATGTGACATGCTTAATATTTCTAAACCTTTGTTTCCTCATATGTATGTTGGTTTTATAATGCTCTCTGGCTTTTAACATTAACATTGTGAGGATAAATGTTTTTAGCTGTTAGAAAAGATGAAGTCATGATATTTACATACAAGTGGTACTACATGGAAAGTATCATGCTACGTGAAATGAGTCAGAGAGAGAGGGACAGACAATAGAAAGTTTCCATTCATCTGTGGAACATGAAGTAACAAAATAGGAGACTAACTTCCAAGAATAGCTGAGATAAGTACCAGGAGGTTTACTCCATGGCCTGGAGGCCAGCTGCACATGCTAGGGGGAAAGGCAGCTCAGATAGAGAAGGGAGCATCAAATAAAGGGTGTTGGGAGGATCCTCCCAGGATGGGAGATGCATGCTGAAAGTAGACTATAGACTGAACATGATTGCCACTCAATGCCTCTTTTGCAAACCACAGCACCCAAAAGGAGAGAGAGAACAAAAGATAATGCCCTGCCACAGAGGCAGGGGAGGATGGGGGGGGATTGGGGGTGGGAGGGATACTGGGATCATTGGTGGTGGAGAATGGGCACTGGTGGAGGAATGGTACTCGATCATTGTATAACTGACTCCCAAACACAAAAATTTGTAAGTCAACAACTGTACCTCATGGTGTTTCACTAATAAAAAAAAATTTACCCCCCCCAAAAATGATTGAATACACTGAAATAACTTACAATAATATTCATCCACTAAATATTAGTTCATACATACCATCATTATTTTCATCTATGTCATCTTAATCCTTTCAAACTTTCATAGCATCAAAAACTATTGAAGCAGAGAGTCTTCAAGTATAACAGTTTCTTGTCTTAGGACTGACTCCACAATTTCTGACCTCCATTCCCTTCTCCTGGATGCCGGTTCTTCAAGCTTTTCCTCTCTTGCATTAATTCCCTACTTGCTACTGAGTGGCAGCCTAATAGAAGCAGGTGAACTGTTCAACCCCAAATTCAGATCCAATGTCAAAACGAATGTGACACACCCAGAGCGAAAGGGTAGAAAGGGCGTTTTGCTACTTGTGTAAGGAGATTTTTCCAGAGAGAAAGGTCAGGCTCCCAAGCAGCTCTCAAAAGGGTTTGAGCAGTGTGGGCCTTGCATCACTCTGAAGAAGGCAGCTACCCTTTTTATCTGCCTGAAGCACATACCCAAGCCAGAGCTCAGGCCTGCAGACTGGGAAGGAGCTCTCTCCACCTCGGGAGTGTGGGAGCTGAAGAGGGACTATAAAACTGACCAAAAAAGGGAAAAAAGAGGTCTTTGGTTATTTTCACCTACTTGATCCTCAATGATTGCAAGATTGAACTGCCCTAGATTCATTCCAGCAATGTTTTCTTGCTAGTCCAGCTCATGACACTGGATTGCTGAGAAGAGAGACTCTCCAGTCGCCAGGCTGCCAGGATGCCAGAGGCCCTTGTCCCATAGAGGCCCAGAACTGGGACTGCAGAACACTGGGGAAGCTGCTGCTATTAAGAAACCCTGCCACAGAGGCAGGGGAGGGCAAGAACTCTTGCCAATGTGTATTTCACACGTGAGAACTGAGTAACAAGAAGTTGCAGGGTTTCGTGTCTGAGTGTGTGTGTGTGTGTTAATGGTTTTTTTTCACACACATATTATGTTTACAGCATTTTGCTCTGTTTGTGTGCTCTGCAATGAAACCAAATGAATGTAATTCGAAAGTAATAGAATCAAGAAAACTGGCTTGAGAGAAGAGAGAAGGGTGATTGGCCTGGTGTTTTGATTTAAAGTGTGGGATTAGGGAGAGGGCTCTCCTTGCACAAGGCACCTCTTGCATGCTTTCAAATTCCCATGAGTGCCAAAAGACAAGCAGGCAAGTTTCTTATTCTTATTAACTTACCTGCTTGTAGAGCAGTGTTGGATTATAGCTCCAAGCATTTTAGGTTTAACATTGGGTTGTCCTTGCTCCTCCCGCAGAGAACTTAGGTTTGTTGAGTTACATCCACCACAGTGCTCCTGAGGCACACTGGGCACTCCCAATCCTCGGTGTCTATCTTTACTCTCTCTTTTGTGCTCTTCTTCCCCTATCTGTTGATCACAAATATCCCCAAGTCAGACAGTGCAACTTGTAAAATCAAATCTTCTGAGGGCTCTGGATTTTGAATATTTAAGTGAAATATTGCTTTTCTCTTTCCTTTATGTCCTGCGCATAGTTTATTTTAGAGCAATGTCAATTTTGTATAGACACAGGAAGACAGTTGTTGTGCTTTTGTAACATAGGAGTTAATTTACTGCAAATAATGTTTACTCCTAGGCATCTACCATATTTACTTAACTTAAGCCTCTGTTGTCCTTAGTTCCTAACACCACAAAAGGGGATCACTGTGGAACTTGGATGGACCCAAGGCGATCCATAAGCTACCCTGGCTTCGAGAAGGCTAAATGACATAAGAAGTATAATAACTTAAGATTGCTGTCATGGAACGAACTCTGATATGACCCAAAAGAAGTAACTGAATAAGGATCCTGCTGGAGTTAGAAAAGACCAACCTGGACTGTATTCTCAGATTTATAGTGAGATGTCCCCAGGAAGAGTCACCCTTTAAGCTTAATATGTCTCTTACTATGTTCATAAAAAAAATGACTAGAAATATTAAAAACTAAATTTAATATTATTGTTTAAATGGATTACTAGCAGAGGAAAGGAGAAAGCAATACTCCCTTATATAGAAATCTACCCTTGCGTGGATCTCTTAGTAGGAATCTAGAGTTCTGGAGCCCCGGTTGAGATTCTATCCTTGGAAGAACTTCCCCTGAAGGAAAGGCAGGGGACCACCAGGTCACCGCGGGACAGTGACTCAGAACAATGACAGAGCAGAAGGGGAAGTGGATCTTGAGAGCTACAAGCAGTCAAGTATCAAAGCAAAGCCATACTTTATTACATTATTCAAGATCAGGGCTTCACGGTTTTTCTTCCTTGATTGGTAAAGGAAGCTCTTCCAGAGGGCAAGGTGCTTGCCTTGCTGAATGAAATGAGTCAGAAGGAGAGGGTCAGACACAGAATGATTGCACTCATTTGTAGGATATTAAAAAAAAAATAGTATGAGACTAATACTGAAGGACAGTAGAAACAAGGACCAGGAGGATTGGTCCACACTTAGAAGCCTGTGTTAACTGCTGGAAGAGAAGGCATTTGGGATAGAGAAGGGACGACTATAACAAAAATAGTTGGAAATGGTCACTCTGGATAAGAATTGCGTGCTGAAAGAGGATAAAAGAACAAACATGATAACCTCTCAGTATCTGTATTGCAAACCATAATGTTCTAAAGGAGAGAGACAGACAGACAGAGAAAGAGAGAGAGAGACAGAGAGAGATAGAGGAGAGGAAAGTGCCTGCCCTGCCATAGAGACAGGCTAGGGATGGGGAGTAGGGGGAGAGAAACTGGAGACATTGGTGATGGGAAATGGTGGGAAATCTACACTAGTAGAAGGATGGGTATATGACTGAAACCCAATCATGAACAGCTTTTTAAATGTATATCTCATGGTGGTTCAATTTTAGAAAACCGACAAAAATTTTTTAAAAATTTTAAATGAATTTATGAACAGAAAAAATTTTCCACTGGATTTGCTTTTTCACAGCTATCAAATGGTTTGTTGGCTGCTGCATGCAGTTATTACTGATACACTGAAGGCTTGCCTATTTGCAGTTGCAAACAATGTATTTTGGGAGAAGGTCTTTTAAAGGCCATCACACAGATATAATTACCATGTAACTCTAACCTACAACCATGAAATTTAAATGGGGAATTTTGAGCAAACTGCAGTTCAGTTAGTTCAACAACCCTTGATGTGATGTCAGGGTAAATAAGGGTGAGTGTGTTAAGTGCCACGTCTGCTGAGAGTCTAAAGTCTCAAGAAGCAGTTGCGTCAGTGAGTGTGGCATTCCTGTGAGAAGCCCATTCTTATGAAAACCTTTGCTTTTTTTCATCGGTTGGTACAACAGACTTTACATCAACTTTGTGCTAAGTAGGCATATTTTCTTCTTCACACTGCAAAGCTATTTCCCAGCTATGTTGATGGTAATCCTCTCATAGGTTTCATTTTGGATTGACCAAAGAGCTGTTCCAACAAGAATTTCTCCAGGTAATTCAGCACCTTTGAAATGTTAATGTGGGAGCAAGGTTGAGGAAGAGAAAAATTTTTTAAAAGGATGATAGGAAAAGAGTGGTGATTTAGAAGGCATAATTAGATGTGCAGTATAACTCTGGTTAAAGTTCTTATGTTGACAACTGCAAGGGTACATTGTAATTGACCTCTTCCTTGGAACCCTGACATTGGATATGAAGGCTATACTTGCTGGACAGCAGCTAATTTATAATAAGTGGATAAAGTTATGAAACATAAACAGTCTTATTTTGTAAACTTATCTTATCCCTTTGAGGAAAACTCCCCATTCCTTGCTGAAGTTATTTTGCTTTGCACAGCAGCCTTTACATGGCAGAAGAAAAGACCTTCAAAATAATTCTTATTATACTATCAGTGTCTTAGTAAGTTACTTACTTCTTAGGATAGGAGGAATGCTTGAATTTGGAAATGTGTTAAATTCAAATTGGGACTTACTCTTAATGTCCTAATCAGACTCAACTACTTTGTTAAGAGGTTTCAGGTGGAAAAGTTTTGTCACCTTTGATAATTTTGCTCAATGATAAAATATCTACCATGTTTTATTACTTGATGCTTATATTATAGTCATATTTTATATTCTATTTCTAGAATTTTATAATGTTATACTGAGCTTATGACGGCTTATGCTACTGTGACACCTTTTTGGCAAGCAATCCGACCTCATTTGGCAACCAATTCAGAACCCATTGAGTCTTGCTTTACAAAGCTGAAGATGCCAAGCTAAAACTTAGATAGTAGGATACTTAATAAGAAGAAACCAAACACTTACTTCATATGTTTTCTTGACAGCTTTACAGCAGAGTTTCCCCACTTTAAATGTTTTTGTTCTTTTACTCATGCTCTATTTACAGAAAAGATTATTATAAGTGGTTTATAGTCACTATAATTAACACCATTTATTCCAGAAAGGATAGTTTCTAAGTTAATGTTTACAAATTATATGCATATTTCAAAAGATCATTTGAAATACAAATTATCATTAATATTAATAATTTGTTCACCTCTTTCCCCCATTAAGAGCTTCAATCTACAAGCATTTAAGACTTGAATAGCTTGAAGGGCAAAAATGCCATCTGAATGAGTAGTTAAGTTACCGGTGCTATTACTACACATCAGAGCAACATCTGTGCCCTGGCCTCAGTATGGGAGAGGGGCCATGTAGGCCTAAACAAGAGATGGAGTCACATAACCCTCGAGACAGAATGCAAAAAGCACTCAGTTTGAAACTTATTTTCAATCAGATTCCTAAAACTTACTGCTTAGCACTTATATTTTGAAAATGACCAACAAAAGTCTGATTGCATGGTGAATGGAGAACACTAGGGTGCGTTTAAGTTGTTTTTGAAATATTTTACTTCTATAACCTCACTTGACTGCCTGGGCCGGAGTGGGTTACGAAGCTGTGCTCAACTTTCGGGCAATTTGAGGAATCTGAGATAGAGACACGATGAGACCATGGGGTAGCACTGTGGAACTGTCCTCCTGTTGTTCACTGATTTGTTCGAGCGGGCGCCAGTAACGTCTCCATTGTGAGACTTGTTGTTACTATTTTTGGCATATCGAATATGCCACAGGGGGCTTGCCAGGCTCTGCTGTGTGGGCGGGATACTCTCAGTAGCTCGCTGGACTCTCCAAGAGGGGCAGGGGAATTGAACCCGGGTCGGTCATGTGTAAGGCAAACGCCCTACCCGCTGTGCTATTGCTCCAGCCCATGGGGTAAAAGGAATTTGTAAACAGATGCATCAGTGAAAACAAACCCACTGGCTGAGAAATATTCGATAGACTGATGCTTCGCCTGCACCACCTGATCCCCTGAGCATGGTGAGTCACCCAGAGGGTTGGGAGTCTCCCCCTAGTGTGTACAGATGTGGGCCCTCAAACAGCAACAAAGCCAGGAAATCAGAGAACCTCGGAGAAGACAAGGACTTGCGAGTTGGGGTTCAAGCCCATCACGTCCAGTACTGACCTGGTAGGGGGACTTGGGCAGAAGCTCGCAGATGCCGGCCTGTCATCATGGCAGGGGTTGTTTTCCAGACTGCTCTTTAGCTGAAGTCAATATGATATGGCTATTATTGATTGAACTTCAGTCCTAATTTAATACATTAGTAAGGCGAGAGAAGACACCAGCATGCTTCATTTTTCTGATGGCCTCTTGGCCAATAAACTCTCCGAACTGAGCTGATCCAATGCAGACAGGTGATGCCTGTAGGGTAATAATTTCATCCCCTACCAATAATTTCATCTCCTACCAAGGAAGAGGTGCTGGCGGGGTGTCGTGTGCTTGTGCTGTGCATTAGCAGAGGTTACCATTGTCCTCCCGTGAGCTGCAAATAAAGGGGTTATGACACTGAAGGGTGGGGGGTCCCACCCCCTAACAGTGTAAGATTCCTGGTGCCAAACATGGGATGACGTCAGGACAACAGCCCAGGGTGAGTCAAATATGTTTCTTAAACCAACGGTCCCTCAGCTACACAAAGTCCAGCACACACAATCCTTCCTAAAGTCTAGCACGTGGCCAAGATCTTTGGGACAGAGACATTCTTTGTCCTTAGTTCTTACTTCACCTGGGTCTATTGGTTCACACCTAGTAATTCTCTGAATAGCACAGGGGGTAGGGCATTTGCCTTGCATGGGTCCGACCCGGGTTTGATTCCTCTGTCCTTCTCAGAGAGCCCGGCAAGCTACCTAGAGTATCCTGCCCGGCAGAGCCTGGCAAGCTCCCCATGGCGTATTTGATATGCCAAAAACAGTAACAACAAATCTCACAATGGAGACGTTACTGGTACCCACTCGAGAAAATTGATCAACAACGGGAGGACAGTGCTACAGTGCTAATCTCACTTGATCCCTCAAGGTTAACAAAAGCATGTAAAATAAAATACAAAGCAGCAGATTTCATTTTTTAAATGTAGCTGTCCTTTTACTCCTTCTTAATGAATGTTTTGCTGCCTGAAAGGCCCCTATGACTACATGTCTCACTTACCTTCTCTCAGTTCTCTCCTTCAGTTTTTTTTTCATGAAACATTTGACAATATTTAGCAGTTTTTTTAGATTCATAACCAAGTGTAGATCAAATGCCCAATCTCACCTTCATTAGTAAAATGAGATCACTATACTGCCTTTTAAACGTAAGACTAAAATGAAAGCATCCAAGTCAATTGCCTAGGCTGATGCTTAGTCCATGGTGGGTTTTATTTTGGTTTGTCTTGTGGGGGGATGCACACCCAGCTGTGGTCAGAAATTACTCCTAGCTCTGTGCTCAGTTATCACTACTAGAGGTACTTGGGAGACCATTTACTGTGCTGAAGATCTAACCGGGTTCAGGCACATGCCAGACAAAGGTCTTACTTCTTATTCTGTATCTCAAAGAAAGAGAACTTGTCTGCTTTCTCCTCTTCTAGTTGTCTCTTTTCTTGCCTCCATTAATGTCACAGGGCCCCTTCTCATGGGTTTTGTTATACCTAAACATATTGAGTTAATAGGGTCATTTACCAGGAAATATGAGGCAGAGAACAGCAACCAAAGCTCTTAGGCACGAAGTGTCTTCTAAAAGAAAACACCTCCTAATACAGGATATACCATTTATTTGGAAAAACGAAAACTCAGGAGCAATTTATTTAACCATTACCGAGATTACCAGAACTGGTGGGCAGGACTCTGGCACCATTTTTGTGAGATAATGGCTGCTTGTTTCCAGCTACAAAGCAGTATTGGGGTATTCATCCTATCTTCCTTCCTTTGTGTCACTTATTTTCTTTCTGCCTTGACTTACAGGGAAATGTTTTTGCTCCATTAAAGATAATTGTAATGACTGTCCTTTTAATGGGGTCACCCACAACACAACTATAGAAAGGCCAAGTGAATTCAATAATTCTTTGAGGGATGCACTACTGACTATAGCCATCACACAGGGAATCCTCTCCATTCACCCAAAATTCAAAACAGAAAGAAAATTGTCAACAGAGAACATAAAGGAATCACTTCCCCTAAATTGAAGAATTTTTAGGACTGTCGTGTGTGTGTGTGTGTGTGTGTGTGTGTGTGTGTGTCTGTCTGTCTGTCTGTCTGTCTGTCTGTCTGTCTGTCTGTCCTTGAGTCTATAGACTGGACTAAATATTGTCTCATATCACTTTCCAATTATGCATGTCAATTTTGGTAGACGGGAAGCTAGTTTTCTGATCCCAATATAGAAGAAGCTTCCTTTGACTCAATGGTCACCTCATATAATTTAAAACTCCTTTAAATTTTTCAAGTGAGATGTTCACTTTAATGAGTTTGGAAGTAATGTAATTTGTCAAGTTAATGCAGTTTAAGGGCCTACTTGTAAGTGTGTTTAATGTAGCTATAATATTCTTGCTTCAGATTCTATTGCCTTTGGAATTTATGTATTTTTTTTATCTCTTGCTCCCTTACTGAACAACTCCTCCTCTTCATTCTCTATTACTTTATTGCTTACTTTAAACAGAGAATATATAGAATTCTCCTTTCAAAATAAATAAAGTCATAGTAAATTAGTTGACCTAAGCACGCTTTTAAAGAAAATAACTGATTGCTTAGTGCTCCCTGACAAATATACATAATATTACTTCCCCTTATTGACCTAATAATCACCCATTTAAAATCCATGCTGAGGCCTATCAGGCATATAAAAGCTGTGTGTTCATTCTCAACGCGAATTTTGTGTACCAAACTCTCCTGTTACTACCTGGGGTATTTTTTGGTGTGTGTGGTGGTGGTGGGGGGGGGATTTGGGGGTGGAGGAGGCTTGGTTTTATTCATGTTACAGCTTCTGTGTCTTAAAAAAACAACATGTTCAAATGTGTAAACTAATGAGGTAAGCAACTAGATAGAAATAATAGCTCAGTAATATTTTGTTTTACTAGTGAAATGTTGAAGGGGGCAAGGTTTTTTATGAGTTGAAAATCACAAAATACCTTCATGCTTCCTGTTGTAAAGTT